GCAACACTCATGGCAGCAACCCTCCTGGGCTGCGTACAAGCCACACACTTGCGTTTGTCAATGCGAGTTTCAAGACACCACTGTGGAATCTACAAAAGTAAAAAGAGTTTGTCAAATTGTTTTTCTTTTTTCACTACAAACTGCACTTACAGTAATGCAAAACAATGCAACATACAAGACAATACACAGACTAGGAATACTTAGCCTTGGATGTATTATCTGCCTGTAATCGTGAGAAACAAGTTGATCCTAATGATTACCATTTCATAGTATTAAAATAAAGTGTCTGATACACTGCCAAGGCAGGGCTGGGCACTAATGGTAGCCCACTAGCCACAGACTAGTAGAAATTCAGTTTTGGGTGGTGGTTTTCGGTTTCCACTAGCCAGTTTGGCTAGTAAACGAAATGACATTGTCGTAACATCTACCATGTCACCAGCCACTTGGCTAGTAAGTTGAAAAGTAAGTGTTGAGCCCTGCAAAGAGAGAGTGGAACTGTATAGAATAAAAAAAAAAACAACAAATTTGCCTGCGAGGAAATGCTGATTGAGTGCTCTTCAATCCAAAAACCTGAACAGACTTACTTTGTTTGTATGAATGGTAAACACTTAGTTTACAACAAACAACAGTTGAGACCCTACTATATTTACGAGGAACAAGGAAAAAATATCTGTTAAAATGTACCTCACTTCCCTTAATTAGCTTCACACAGCAGTTCAGCTGGAATTTGTACTAAAAGTAACTAGTATCTACATGTAATAGGCATCCGTTACACCCAACTGATGCCCGAATTCTTCCAAATATTTACAGTCTCTAATTCCTCAAATTTCCCCAACCACAGCTCATCTGATAAGAAGTACAATTTAACCCAACTTCTAATAAACTACTTAGATAATTTAGTGTTATTACATTGGTTGATAATGCAAAATGCTCACCGTAAAGGGTTTCAAGTGTTTGCCCTTTGTCAAAGCAAATAAATACTACATGTAACTATTACCTGGGTTGTTTTACCAGATCCAGTCTCGCCAACAAGAACACAAGCTTGTTTTTCCTTCATGGTTTCCATGAATTTTTCTTTGTACTCCCATACTGGTAGCTCGATTCTCTTCTTGAGAATGTCAAAATATTTGTCTGAGAATAGCTTCCCATTGAAAGGATTGATCTTTCCACGAAGATTGCTTGGATTACTA